CTATCCCAACAATAAACGAGCGTGGATTTAAAAAAAAAAATCAAGGTCTATCCCAACAATAAACGAGCGTGGATTTAAAAAAAAAATTTCAATGTCTATCAGACTTATAAACGTGAATTTTTAAAGGATTTTCTTCAAGGACTATCAGGGCCACAAACATGCATTTTTTAAAGGATCATTCAAGGCCTATCAGGCCTATAAACGTACATTTTTTAAGATTTTTTTAAGGACTATCAGGGCTAAAAACGCGTATTTTTTAAGAATTTTTTTAAGGACTATCAGGGCTACAAACGTGGATTTTTTTAAGATTTTTTTCAAGGACTAAAAACGCGTATTTTTTAAGAATTTTTTCAAGGACCATTCAAATCAAAAATCCACGCCTTTGATTTATAATCCCCTTAAAAATATTCTGAAGAAAGTCAACGTCCTTTAAAACAAATACTTTTTAATAGCCCCTCCCTCCATGCCAACGTTTCACGACTTCATCTTGACTAAAAGATTTTATTGGTATTTCAGTTAAGGAACTACCTCACCACATTATCCCTCTCATCCCGCCATCCCCTTAATATTATAATTTATTTGATTTATTTACTACAAGATTCTCTTGTAAATGTAATAATCTTTTAAATGTTTATGTTTTGGGTAAATTTCGGTAAAACAAAAACAACAACGATGGCAAACACAAACAAAACCATTGGCATTAACCTTTGACCGAGCGCCGAAACCAAAAAAAGGACAAGCCTCAGACATTTATTTTATAAGGAGGTTGACCCTTGTCAAGAAAATATTTCCTAGAAATGTTTTTTATTGCCATTTTTTGTTCTCTTGTTTTTTGTTTTTATTGTAACAGAGGCCATGTGTCAACACCATGGCGAGTAGGATATAAACTGTGGGTGGGTTTTTTTTCAGTGTCTTCGGTGGGAAATACATGGCTATCCTTGATTCGTGCCGACTTGCTATGCAAAAATTTATGGAAAGTCATTTCGGTTGTGGCATATTTTTTTTTTTTTTTTTTTTTTTTTGCCAAATGAAATTTGTTTCATTTGATTTCTTGGCAAGAATATGAACAGATTTAAGAAATTTGGGGAAGAGAAATAAATGTTTTTTTTTTTTTTTGGTCTAATAGTCCTTAACGAATAATTCTTTAAGAACGTGCACGCTAATAGCCCTGATAGTACTTGAAAAAAATCCAGGTTAATTGGACCTTGAAAAAAAATCTTTAAAAAATCCAGGTTATTTGGACTAAAGATCCTTAAAAAAATTTAAAAAATCCACGTTTATTGGACTAAAAGTCCTTGAAAAATATTCTTTAAAAAATCCAAGTTTATTGTTTGGATGGTCGTTGAAAAAAATTCTTTAAAAAATCCACGTTTATTGGACTTAAAGTCCTTGAAATTTTTTTTTTAAAAAAAGGGTTCTGGGAACAATTCTTTAAAAAATCCACGATTATTTTTTTGATGGTCCTTAAAAAAAAATATTCTTTCAAAAATCCACGTTTTTTGTTTGGATGGTCCTTGAAAAGAAATCTTTAAAAAATCCACGTTTATTGTTTGGATGGTCCTTGAAAAAAATTATTTAAAAAATCCAGGTTTTTTTTTTGTTGGATGGTCCTTGAAAAAAATTCTTTAAAAAATCCACGTTTATTGTTTGGATGGTCCTTGAAAAAAATTATTTAAAAAATCCAGGTTTTTTTTTTGTTGGATGGTCCTTGAAAAAAATTCTTTAAAAAATCCACGTTTATTGTTTGGATGGTCCTTGAAAAAAATTCGTTAAAAAATCCACGTTTTTTGTTTGGATGGTCCTTGAAAAAAATTCTTTAAAAAATCCAAGTTCAGTGTTTTGATGTTCCTTGAAAAAAATTCTTTAAAAAATCCACGTTTATTGTTTGGATGGTCCTTGAAAAAAATTCTCTAAAAAATCCAAGTTTATTGTTTGGATGGTCGTTGAAAAAATTCTTTAAAAAATCCACGTTTATTGTTTGGATGGTCCTTGAAAAAAATTCTTTAAAAAATCCACGTTTATTGTTTGGATGGTCCTTGAAAAAAATTCTTTAAAACATCCACGTTTATTGTTTGGATGGTCCTTGAAAAAGAAAATTCTTTAAAAAATCCACGTTTATTGAACCAGAGGTCCTTGAAAAAAATTCTTTAAAAAATCCACGTTTATTGAACCAGAGGTCCTTGAAAAAAATTCTTTAAAAAATCCACGTTTATTGTTTGGATGGTTCTTGAAAAAAAAATTCTTTAAAAAATCCACGTTTATTGAACCAGAGGTCCTTGAAAAAAATTCTTTAAAAAATCCACGTTTATTGTTTGGATGGTTCTTGAAAAAAAAATTCTTTAAAAAATCCACGTTTATTGTTTGGATGGTCCTTGAAAAAAAAATTCTTTAAAAAATCCATGTGTTTTTGTTGGATGGTCCCTGAAATTTTTTTTAAATGGTCCTTGAAAAAAATTCTTTAAAAAATCCACGTTTATTGTTTGGATGGTCCTTGAAAAAATGCTTTAAAAAATCCACTTTTATTGTTTGAAAGCTACTTGAAAAATTCTTTAAAAAATCCACGTTTATTGTTTGGATGGTCCTTGAAAAAAATTCTTTAAAAAATCCACGTTTATTGTTTGGATGGTCCTTGAAGAAAATTCTTTAAAAACTCCACGTTCTTTTGTTTGGATGGTCCTTGAAAAAAAATTCTTTAAAAAATCCACTTTTATTATTTTGATGGTCCTTGAAAAGAAATCTTTAAAAAATCCAGGTTAATTGGACTAAAGGTCCTTGAAAAAAAATCTTTAAAAAATCCACGTTTATTGGAATAAAGGTCCTTGAAAAATATTCTTTAAAAAATCCACGTTCATTGGACTAAAGGTCCTTGAAAAAAATTCTTTAAAAAATCCACGTTTGTAGCCCTGATAGTCCTTGAAAAATTCTTTAAAAAATCCACGTTTATTGTTTGGATGGTCCTTGAAAAAATTCTTTAAAAAATCCACGTTTATTGTTTGGATGGTCCTTGAAAAAATTCTTTAAAAAATCCAGGTTTTTTTTTTTGCTGGATGGTCCTTGAAAAAAATTCTTTAAAAAATCCACGTTTATTGTTTGGATGGTCCTTGAAAAAAATTCTTTAAAAAATCCAGGTATTTTTTTGATGGATGGTCCTTGAAAAAAATTCTTTAAAAAATCCACGTTTATTGAACAAAAAGTCCTTGAAACATATCCTTTAAAAAATCCACGTTTATTGTTTAAAAGGTCCTTTAAAAATTTTGTTTTGAAAAATCCACGTTTATTGTTTGGATGGTCATTGAAAAAAATTCTTTAAAAAATCCACGTTTGTAGCCCTGATAGTCCTTGAAAAAAATTCTCTAAAAAATCCACGTTGGTAACCCTTATGGTCGTTGAAAAAATTCTTTAAAAAATCCAAGTTTATTGCTCTGTTGGTCCTTGAAAAATATTCTTTAAAAAAGCCACGTTTATTGTTCGGATTGCCCTTGAAAAAATTCTTTAAAAAATCCAAGTTTATTGCTCTGTTGGTCCTTGAAAAATATTCTTTAAAAAATCCACGTTTATTGTTTGGATGGTCCTTGAAAAAAAATTCTTAAAAAAAATCCAAGTTTATTGTTTGGATGGTCCTTGAAAACAACATTCTTTAAAAAATCCAAGTTTATTGTTTGGATGGTCCTTGAAAAAAATTCTTTAAAAAATCCACGTTTATTGTTTGGATGGTCCTTAAAAAAATTCTTTAAAAAATCCACGTTTATTGTTTGGATGGTCCTTGAAAAATATTCTTTAAAAAATCCACGTTTATTGTTTGGATGGTCCTTGAAAAAATTCTTTAAAAAATCCACGTTTATTGTTTGGATGGTCCTTGAAGAAAATTCTTTAAAAAATCCACGTTCTTTTGTTTGAATGGTCATTGAAAAAAATTCTTTAAAAAATCCACGTTTATTGTTTGGATGGTCCTTGAAAAAAATTCTTTAAAAAATCCACGTTTATTGATCGGAAGGGCCTTGAAAAATATTCTTTAAAAAATCCACGTTTATTGTTTGGATGATCCTTGAAAAAATTCTTTAAAAAATCCACGTTTATTGTTTGGATGGTCGTTGAAAAAAATTCTTTAAAAAATCCACGTTTATTGTTTGAATGGTCCTTTAAAAATTTTGTTTTAAAAAATCCACGTTTATTGTTTGGATGGTCCTTGAAAAAAATTCCTTAAAAAATCCACGTTTATTGTTTGGATGGTCCTTGAGAAAAATTCTGTAAAAATACATGTTTGTTGTTTGGATGGCCCTTGAAAAAAATTGTTTAAAAATTCAGGTTAATTGGACTAAAGATCCTTGAAAAAAATTCTTTAAAAAATCCACGTTTATAGTTTGGATGGTCCTTGAAAAATATTCTTTAAAAAATCCACGTTTATAGTTTGGATGGTCCTTGAGAAAAATTCTTTAAAAAATCCACGTTTGTAGCCCTGATAGTCCTTGAAAAAAATTCTTTAAAAAATCCACGTTTATTGTTTGGATGGTCCTTGAGAAAAATTCTTTAAAAAAATCCGTTCTTTCCTCATTTTTATTTATCTTCCTTTGATTTTTAATTCATATTCATGTGCCTTTATTTGTTGCTGATTTTCAATTTATTTTAAATGTCATTTTTTTCTTCTTCTTCGTTGTTTTTTCTTCTTCTCATCTCCACAATAGCCCAGTGATGAACTTTGTTTTAGAGTTCCATTCAGTCTCCTCTTTTTTTCTTTTCTCCGTTTTTTGCTTTGATTTGTTATGAAAAGATAATAGAAACGATTTTGAATAAGCTTCATTTCTTTGGCGGTCTCAATCAAGAAAAATAGAAAAAAAAAACAAAAGAAAGAGAGAAAATAAAAAAAGAAAAACTAATATTTGGTGTTGTTCTTGTCTTTTGTGATTTGTTGTTTTTCCATTTCCATCTCAAATATCTCTGTGGAAAATGCCGCCGCCTTAAATAAATAATCCGCCACCATGCATCATGCCTTGCATCTCCAGTATTATCCAGCTCCACATCAGTCACAGGCCCATCATCATGAGCTGATGCATCAATCCAGCCTGGCCGGCCAGTGCCAGCGCCACAAAGCCAATGAAGTTTCGGTTAGCTTTGCAAATCGTAATGAGAATCTGGGTATGCTACAGCTTTCAAGACAACAGCAACAGCAGCAACAACAACAGCTGGCAGCTGCAACATCATCTAATCAACAGCAGCAGCAGCAACAACAACAACAACACCAGCAGTATCAAAACATAACCCCCAATCCTAACTGGCTGCCACCGCAAACTAATAAAAGAGCCCCGGAAGAGATTGATGACCAAAGACAGAATGCAGCAGCAGCAGCAGCAGCAACAACACTGCATGGCTATCGGCCGGAAAGCCATCAAATTTCCCAGCAAACATCCTACAATAGCTCATCAGCCGCACAACAACAACAACAGCACCAGCAATCTCTGCCTTATTGCACCAAACACCCGGAGAATTTCCTCAACAACTCACCGGCCAATGATATCGGTGATCTGATGGGGAATTATGTGGCCAAGAAAACGTATATCACTCCCTTCGATATACCCTCCCCGCCACCGCAACCGGCTGAGCATAAAAGATTTTCAAGTGGCCAATATGTGGCAAAGGCAACATGCCCCAGCGGCCCAGGGGAGGCAACAGCAACCTTGTCTGGCGGCAACAGCAACATAAAGAGCCATTGTCAGTGTGTGGAGCACAATGTCAGGGGTAGCAGAAACGGTGGGGGTTGTCATTTAAATCATAAACATTATCCGCAAACACAAACACATCAAAGACCAGCAGCAGCAGGTACAAGCAACAGCAACAACATCAACAACAGCAGTCTGACAACATCAACCCAGCAGCAGCATCGCAATCATCATCACAGCCATCATTACATTGATGAGCCCCTCAACCGCACCGCCTCCCTCAAACACAACAATCCAGCCGTTGGCCACCATCAACAGTATCCTCATCACCAACACCACCAACATCCTCCACCTCCACCTCCTCATCATCAGCAGCATCAGCCACAATATCGGAAAATTGATGTTTTTGCTGCAGCCGATGATGACGACAACGACACCAGTCCCAGCATAAAGGTAAATGAAAAGCATGTCTCTGTTCTGCTGCAGTCGTTTTTTGTTGTTGCTGCTTTTGTTGTTTTCTTTGGGTCTTTTGTGTTCACGTTTATGTTTTTTCGCATATTCCCTTTGTGTGAGATTTCCTTCCTTTTGATTGTAGTCCTTGTCGCTGGTTGTCAGTTGTCGAAGCCTTGCACTTGGTACATGTTTTTCGTTAAAAAAGCAAAAACACAAACAAGAAAATGCAAAACATGTGAGACCTTTTGGTGAGCTACAATGGGCCAAAGAAGTATCTAAACAGAGTCGGTAGGTATGTCCTTAAAAACTACTTCTACGTCCTTGAAAAATATTCTTTAAGAAATTCACATTTATTACTTGAAAGTTCCTTAAAATTCTTTCAAAATCCACGTTTACTGTTTGAAAGGTCCTGGAAAAAAATCTTTAAAAAATCCACGTTTTTTGTTTGAAATGTCCTCGAAAAAAAATCCATGTTTATTAGACTAAAGGTCCTCGAAAAAAAATCTTTAAAAAATCCACGTTTATTAGACCTCGAAAAAAAATCTTTAAAAAATCCACGTTTATTAGACCTCGAAAAAAAATCTTTAAAAAATCCACGTTTATTAGACCTCGAAAAAAAAAATCTTTAAAAAATCCACGTTTATTAGACCTCGAAAAAAAATCTTTAAAAAATCCACGTTTATTAGACCTCGAAAAAAAATCTTTAAAAAATCCACGTTTATTAGACCTCGAAAAAAAATCTTTAAAAAATCCACGTTTATTAGACCTCGAAAAAAAATCTTTAAAAAATCCACGTTTATTAGACCTCGAAAAAAAATCTTTAAAAAATCCACGTTTATTAGACCTCGAAAAAAAATCTTTAAAAAATCCACGTTTATTAGACCTCGAAAAAAAATCTTTAAAAAATCCACGTTTATTAGACCTCGAAAAAAAAAATCTTTAAAAAATCCACGTTTATTAGACCTCGAAAAAAAATCTTTAAAAAATCCACGTTTATTAGACCTCGAAAAAAAATCTTTAAAAAATCCACGTTTATTAGACCTCGAAAAAAAATCTTTAAAAAATCCACGTTTATTAGACCTCGAAAAAAAATCTTTAAAAAATCCACGTTTATTAGACCTCGAAAAAAAATCTTTAAAAAATCCACGTTTATTAGACCTCGAAAAAAAATCTTTAAAAAATCCACGTTTATTAGACCTCGAAAAAAAATCTTTAAAAAATCCACGTTTATTAGACCTCGAAAAAAAATCTTTTAAAAATCCACGTTTATTGTTTGAAAGGTCCTTGAAAAAAATTCTTTAAAAAATCCACGTTTATTGTTTGTAAGGTCCTTGAAAAGTATTCTTTAAAAAATCCACGTTTATTGTTTGAAAGGTCCTTGAGAAAAAATCTTTAAAAAAAACACGTTTTTTGTTTGAAAGATCCTTAAAAAAATCTTTAAACAATTCACTTTTTTTGTTTGAAAGGTCCTCTTTAAAAAATCCACGTTTATTGGACTAAAGGTCCTGGAAAAAAATCTTTAAAAACCAACTTTTTTGTTTGAAAGGTCATCTTTAAAAAATCCACGTTTATTGGACTAAAGGTCCTGGAAAAAAATCTTTAAAAAATCCACGTCTTTTGTTTGAAAGGTCCTTGAAAAGAATTCTTTTAAAAATCCACGTTTATCGGTCTGTTGGTCCTTGAAAAAAAATCTTTAAAAAATCCACTTTTTTGGTCGGATGGTCCTTGAAAAAAATTTCTTTAAAAAATCCACGTCTTTTGTTTGAAAGGTCCTTGAAAAGAATTCTTTTAAAAATCCACGTTTATCGGTCTGTTGGTCCTTGAAAAAAATTCTTTAAAAAATCCACGTTTATTGTTTGAAAGGTCCTTGTAAAAATTCTTTAAAAAATCCACGTTTATTGTTTGAAAGGTCCTGAAAAAAATTCTTTAAAAACCCCACATTTTTGTTTAAAAGGTCCTGGAAAAAAATTCTTTAGAAAATCCACGTTTATTGTTTGAAAGGTCCTGGAAAAAAATTCTTTAAAAAATCCACGTTTATTGTTTGAAAGGTCCTTGAAAAAAATTCTTTAGAAAATCCACGTTTATTGTTTGAAAGGTCCTGGAAAAAAATTCTTTAAAAAATCCACGTTTATTGTTTGAAAGGTCCTTGAAAAAAATTCTTTAGAAAATCCACGTTTATTGTTTGAAAGGTCCTGGAAAAAAATTCTTTAAAAAATCCACGTTTATTGTTTGAAAGGTCCTTGAAAAAAATTCTTTAAAAATCCACGTTTATTGCTTGAAAGGACCTGGAAAAAAATCTTTAAATAATCCACGTTTATTGGTTTTAAAGGTCCATGAAAAAAATTCTTTAAAAAATCCACGTCTTTTGTTTGAAATGTCCTTGAAAAATTTTTTTTAAAAATCTACGTTTATTGTTTGAAAGGTCCTGGAAAAAAATCTTTAAAAAATCCACGTTTATTGTTTGAAAGGTCCCTGAAAAAAAATCTTTAACAAGTCCATGATTATTCTTTGAAAGTTCCTCGAAAAAAATTCTTTAAAAAATCCACGTTTATTGTTTGAGAGGTCCTTTAAAAAAAAAACATTTAAAAATTCCGCGAGGCCCTTGAAAAAAAATCTTAAAAAAAAACACGTTTATTGTGTGAGAGGTCCTTTTAGAAAAAACATTTAAAAATTCCGCGAGGCCCTTGAAAAAAAAATTTTAAAAATCCACGTTTATTGTTTTAAAGATCCTTGAAGAAAATTCTTTTAAAAATTCAACTTTTTTGGACTAAAGATCCTTGAAAAAAAAATCTTTAATAAATCCAAGTTTATTGTACCAAAGGTCCTTGAAAAAAGTTTGTTGCACTGGAGGTCCTTAAAATAAATTCCACGATTGAAGCACTCAAGATGTCCTTAAAGGAAATTCCTTAAAAATCCACTTTTGAAGCACTGGAGATCCTTATATGAAATTCCTTAAAAATTCACTGAAGGTCCTTAAAGTAAATTCTTTAAAAATCCACGAATTTAGCACTCAAGATGTTCTTAAAAGAAATTCCTTAAAAAATCCACTTTTGAAGCACCGGAGATCCTTAAATGAAATTCCCTAAAAATCCACTGAAGGTCCTTAAAGTAAATTCTTAGAAAAATCCACATTTGAAGTTCTGGAGGTCCTTAAAAGAAATTCTTAGAAAAATTCACGTTTGAAGTTCTGGAGGTCCTTAAAAGAAATTCTTTAAAAAATCCACATTTGAAGCACTGGAGGCCCTTAAAAGAAATTCTTAAAAAAGTCCCCTTTAAAGCACTGGAGGTCCTTAAAAGAAATTCTTTAAAAAATCCACGTTTGAAGCACTGGGTGATCCTTAAAAGAAATTCTTTAAAAAATCAACGTTTTAAGCACTGTAGGTCCTTAAAATAAATTCACGTTTGAGGGTCCTTTAAGTTTTATTTCACAAATCCACGTTTGAAGGTCCTTCTAATTTTGTTTCACAAATCCACGTTTGAAGGTCCTTCAAATTTTATTTCACAAATCCACGTTTGAAGGTCCTTGAAATTTTATTTTCAAATTAAAATTAAAAAAATATTAAGATCTAATTTTAAAGACCTTCAATCCTTGAAATTTTATTTTCAAATCCACGTTTGAAGGTCCTTGAAATTTTATTTTACAAATCCACGTTTGAAGGTCCTTGAAATTTATGTCACAAATCCAAGTTTGAAGGTCCTTGAAATTTCATTTTCAAATTAAAATTAAAAAAAATATATTAAAATCCAATTTTAAAGACCTTCAATCCTTGAAATTTTATTTTCTAATCCACGTTTGAAGGTCCTTGAAATTTTATTTTCAAATCCAAATTTAAAGGTTCTTGAAATTTTTTTTAAGTCCACGTTTGAAGTTCCTTAAATTTTATTTCACAAATCCACGTTTGAAGGTCCTTGAAATTTTATTTTCAAATAAACATTAAAAAATATATATTAAAATATAATTTTAAGCACCTTCAATCCTTGAAATTTTTTTTTCAAATCCACGTTTGAAGGTCCTTGAAATTTTATTTTCAAATTAAAATTAAAAAAAAAAATATTAAAATCTTATTTTACAGACCTTGAAATTTTTTTTAAATTCACAATTGAAGGACTTTGAAATTTATTTCACAAATCCACGTTTGAAGGTCCTTGAAATTTTATATTTACTCTAAGTTTGAAGGTCCTTAAAAATTTATATCACAAATCCACGTTTAAAGGTCCTTGAAATTTTTTTTAATCCACGTTTAAAGGTCCTTGAAATTTTTTTTAATCCACGTTTGAAGTTCCGTTTGATATTATATTTGAAATCCACGTTTAAAGTTCCTTGATATTTTATTTTAAATCCACGTTTGTAGATCTTTGAAATTTTATTTTCAATCCACGTTTGAGGGTCCTTGAAATTTTATTTTCAAATTAAAAAAAATATATTCAAATCTAATTTTAAGGACCTTCAATCCTTGAAATTTTATTTTCAAATCCACGTTTGAAGGTACTTGAAATTTATGTCACAAATCCAAGTTTGAAGGTCCTTGAAATTTATTTCACATATCCACGTTTGAAAGTCCTTGAAATTTTATTTCACAAATCCACGTTTGAAGGTCCTTGAAATTTTATTTTCAAATTAAAATAAAAAAAATAAAATAAAATTTTAAGGTTCATCAATCTTTTAAAATTTTATTTTCAAATCCACGTTTGAAGGTCCTTGAAATTTTATTTTCAAATTAAAATTAAAAAAAAAAATTATAAAAATCTAATTTTTCTTAGATTTCTGATTTTTTCTTCAAATCCACGTTTGAAGTTCCTTAAATTTTATTTCAAAATTCCAAGTTTGTTTGTCCTTTAAAAAAAAATCTTCAAAGAAATTCTTTAAAAATATCCACGGTTGATGATCCTTATTATCCTGGAAATATATATATATTTTTTAAAAATCGTAATGAGTCCTTGAAAAAAATTTCTTTAAAAATATTAATATTTGAAAGACAGTTAGTCCTTAAAGGAAGTTTTTTACAAATCCAGAATTTCTGGGATTAAAAGCCCAATTGTTGCCCCTAATCCTTGACGTACTCCTAAATTTTTATACTTTCATAAATGTTCATTCCAGCCTACCTAAGGATACTAGTCCTTTACCAGAATTTTCTCCTGCAGGACTTAGTAACTTTAGCCGCTTAAATATTTTATGTTTTATGCCATTGTTAAAAGAAACCCAAACTAAGGACATGAGAGAATGAAAAAAAACGGGCAAAAAGAACATTGGCTGTTTCTTGTGTTATCATCCGAAATGATGTTGTGGGCCCTACTCAACCTTATTGTGTGGTTAGCTTTTTTAGGACCACCACACAAAAGAGGAAAACTGGCGGAAAATGGGAAGTATATTATAAGGATATCAACACCTCAAAAGGCAACACCTTTTTCTGTGGACTTTTGGGATTAATGTTTGCAAAGGAGTTTTTTTTTCTTTTTTTGAAAAAAAAAATTAAATTTTGGGGAAAGGAGATGCCAGAAACTTCCAATTTAAAAATAATTTTTTTGGCATTAAATTTTTAATTATTTTTATTTTATTTTTTTTTTTTTTTTTTTTTATTTTTAGCCACTGTTTCTTTTTTGACAGTCCCAAGATCATTTTGCTCCTGCATTCTGTTCCAAGGACTTTTTACCACATTTTTTATCAGTCCTTACAACCTTTTGCTTCTGCAATCTGTTCTAAGGACTTTTCGCCATATTTTTTTTTCATCAGTCCATTTTTGTGTCATAACGCTCACATTAATGTCCTTTATAATATTGTGTTTTTTTTTTCTCTCCCTCTCTCTTCTCTCATTTTCTTTTCAGGTACGTGCCAAAAGAGTTGCTAATTTTTTGTTGTTGTAGTTTCCTCCTCCTCTAAACGCTAATGAGTTTTTTTCTCGGTAAGTACGAGTGTTGTCTGATGCCTGTAGGGTTGTTATGACCAAAAAAAAAAAAAACAGAAAAGACAGGATAAAAACGGTAGAGGCGAAAACGTCATCATCAACATCACCAACTTCACCGTCGTTGCGAAAACGTAGACAATTATCAGTGACATGTTAATGTCATTGTTGTTTCTTTTAAGGACTTGTAGGTAATTTAACACACAGATTGATGGACGGATGGGTTAAATGGGAAATCGAAGAGAAAAATATTTTAAGCTGCAAAATTGAAGTAAAAAAAATAAAAATTAAAAAAAAGAAGAATTAAAAAACAAATGAAAAATTAAAAAAAAAGAAAAATTAAATTTTTGGTGAAAAAAAAATTCTTAAAAAAAAACAAATATAATCTTGTGGGAGGTCCAGACGGCGTGAACCGATAAGTTCCATATTTACAACAGATTTCCGGTTGGGAAAAATATTTAGATACACCAAACTCAAAAAGCATTGCTGCCTTGTATTGAAAACTGTGATACTTTGTGGGGGAGATACCAGAAGGGGTAGACCGATATCTATCATCTTCCCACCAGATCTTGTGCTAATAGAAATATTGGAATGTGCGAATTTTGAAGACAATCGAACTATTATTTCACATTTTATAAGAGTTATCATTATTCCAAAATTTTGACCCCTTTGTGGGGGAGGTACCAGAAGGAGTAGGCCGATATCTATCATCTTCACACCAGATCTTGTGCTAGTAGAAATATTGGGATGTGCAAATTTTGAAGACAATCGAACTATTATTTCACATTTTATTAGAGCTATAATTATTCCGCATTTTGACCCCTATGTGGGGGAGGTACCAGAAGGAGTGGGCCCATATCCACCATCTTCATACCAGATCTTGAGCTAGTTGTAATATTAGGATGTGTAAAATTTGAAGTGAATTGGATGTTTATTTCGCATTTTATGAGGGTCATAATTATTCCGAATTTTGACACCTTGTGAGGGAGGTACCAGAAAAAGTGGGCCAATATCTATCATCTTCTCATCAAATCTTGTGCTGGTAGTAATATTGGGATATGTGAAATTTGAAGATAATCGAACCATTATTTCGCATTTTATGAAAGTCATAATTATTCCAAATTTTGACCCCTTTGTGGGGGAGGTACCAAGAGGAATGGGCCAATATCTATTATCTTCACACCAGATCTTGTTTTAATAAAAATATTGCGATATTAAAAATTTGAAGACAATCGAATTCTCATTTCACATTTTATAAGAGTTACAATTATTCCGAATTCTGACCCCTTTGTGGGGGAGGTACCAGAAGGAGTGAGTCGATAGCTATTATCTTCACACCAAATCTTGTGCTAGTAGAAATATTGAGATGTGTCAAATTTAAAGAGAATTGGATGCATATTTTGTATTTTATTGGAGTTATAATTATTCTAAATTTTGACCCCTTTGTGGGAGAGGTACCAAAAGGGGTGAACCGATAACTTTCATCTTCCCACCAGATCTTGTGCTAATAGAAATATTGGGATATGTGAAATTTGAAGACAATCGAACCATTATTTCGCATTTTATGAAAGTCATAATTATTCCAAATTTTGACCCCTGTGTGGGGGGGGGGGGGGGTACCAGAAGGGATGCGCCGATCTATATCATCTTCACATCAGATCTTGTGCTAGTAGAAATATTGGGATGTGTGAAATTTAAAGAGAATTGGATGCTTGTTTCGGATTTTATTAGAGTTATAATTATTCCAAATTTTGACCCCTTTGTAGGGGAGGTACCAGAAGGGGTGGACCGATTTTTATGATCTTCACACCAGATCTTGTGGTAGTTGAAATATTGGGACGTGCGAATTTTGAATACAATCGAACTCTTAATTCACATTTTATAAGAGTTATAATTATTCCAAATTTTGACCCCTTTGTAGGGGAGGTACCAGAAGGGGTGGACCGATTTCTATCATCTTCCCACCAGATCTTGTGCTAGTAGAAATATTGGGACGTGCGAATTTTGAATACAATCGAACTCTTAATTTACATTTTATAAGAGTCATAATTATTCCGAATTTTGACCCCTTTGTGGGGGAAGTGCCAGAAGGGGTGTACCGAAATCTGTCATCTTCACACCAGATGTTCTGCTAGTAGAAATATTGGGATATGCGAATTTTGAAGACAATCGAACTATTATTTCGCATTTTATGATACTCATAATTATTCCGAATTTTGACCCCTATGTGGGGGAGGTACCAGAAGGAGTGTGTCGATAGCTATCATCTTCACACCAGATCTTGTGCTAGTAGAAAGATGGCGATGTGTGAAATTTAAAGAGAATTGGATGCTTATTTCACATTTTATAAGAGTTATAATTATTCCGAATTTTGACCCCTTTGTGGGGGAGGTACCAGAAAGAGTGGGCCGATATCTATCATCTTCACACCAGATCTTGTTTCAATAAAAATATAGCGATATTTAAAATTTGAAGACAATCGAGTTCTCATTTCACATTATATAAGAGGTAAAATTATTCCAAATTTTGACCCCTTTGTGAGAGAGGTACCAGAAAAAGTAACCCGATATAACCCATCTTCACCCCAGATCCCGTGTTAATAGTAGTATAAAGATGTGAGAACTTTGAAGACAATCGAACTTATAGTTCACATTTTAAAAGAGTTATTATTATTTAAATTTTTAACCCTTTTGTGGGGGTGGTACCAGACGGGGAAGGCATATATGTATTATCTTCACACCAGATCTTGTGCTAGTAGAAATATTGGGATGTGTGAAATTTGAAGATAATTGAACTTTTATTTCAAATTTGACATGAGTTATAATTATTCCGAATTTTGACCCTTTGTGGGGGAGGTACCAGACGGGTAGGCATATACGAGTGAGATGAAAAAACTGCGACCAACTTCAGACTGCTGTCATACTGGACGGCAGAAAACAGCAACATCCGCTGAAATGCTTCGAAAAGTAATGAAGCGAAAAATGGCTCGTGAGCTGAAAATATTGCAATATTCCTTTCCGGCAAATATTGAAAAATGAGCACGGGGTAAAGCCATTGAAATTCCAAAAAGTGCAAGAACTTACACCGCAACAGAAAGAAAATAGACTCAAAAGAACTAAACAGTTGCTTCGCTTGGTCGAAAGTGGTGATCTGCCGAATTTGGTTCTCTCCGATCTCCAATGAGAAAACATTCCTTGTCCAGCATTTTGTAAACAAACAAAATGATCGTATTTACTTGCCAAAGAGGTCAGTTGAAAATATGCACCTTCGGTTGGCCACCAGAACTCAAGCGCCGGCCATGGTGATGGTGTGGGCCGCCCTAACAGCCGATGGTCGCTCTCCGCTCGTATTAATCGACCTTGGCATCAGAATAAATGCCGCATATTATCGCGAAAATATTCTGGATGGTGTATTAAAGCCTAGGGCCGCAGACCTTGGACATTCCAACAGGGCTCAGCACCATCGCCGCACTCAACACGCGTCACCCAAGAATAGTTCCTCGCTTCATTTCCAGCGCACAATGGCCACCAAAATCTCCGGATACCAATCCATTGGACTATTGTACCTGGAGTATTTTGAAAAGCAAGGTTGGCACTAAAAAACACCAAAGTGTCGATCACCTCAAGCAAGCGCTTCGCCGGGAATGACCCAAAATACCGCAGAGCAACATTCGGACAGGGTGTGACGGTTTCATTGGCCGTCTAAAGGCCATAATTCGTGCCAAAGATGACCAAATTCGAACAAATCTAAACTTATTCTAAAATTTGATGCTATTTCCGATATTTTTTGCTTTCGTTCAAAAAAATTTAAAGAAAAATGTGAAAATTATGGTTTTTGACTTTGTTGCAGTTTTTTTTATCACACCCTGTATTAGTATTTAAATATTTAATTTTAAAAAATATAAATTTTTTATTATTAAAAAAATATAGATTTTTTAATTCCATTGTAAAAATCTTTGTTTTTAATTTTGTCACTTGGTCTATTTCTCCAAGCAAGGGTTAAAAACAAAGAGTTGACTGCAAAACAAATCTAAGAGAAATTCTCTCCACCTGTTGAGTCAAATGATTACCACACAATGGCAAATTTAAAGAGATGCTCTCTCTCTCTCTCTCGCTCTTTTAAATGCTCCACCATATCTTGACCTATGCTATGATTTTCTTTGTTAGTTTTTGCATTTTGTTTGTTTTTTTTTTAATTTACTCTCTCCCCTCTAATCCGTTAACATTGTTGTGCTCACAACACCCAGCTTGAAAACAAAGCCAAAAACAAAAACCAAAAACCAACGAAAATGAAACCGCAACCACACAACAAAAAAAAAATAAGTAAATCCGATGCATGATGGCACGTTCCCCTTTAGATTTTTTGGCATTTTTGTTGGTCATATCACGTTTTATGTGTTTTGATTGCGAAATTCGCGCGTGTGATTGTAGGGAAATCAATCGCTCGATTAAAACCACAAAAAAAGTATTGACGGATTGCATAAGGCGAAGCCAATAGATAGGTGGATAATGCAACAAAAGTAATAATAATAATACTATTTTTTATCTCGTCTTGAATAGAAGAAGAAAGAAAAAAATGAAATGAAACAACATAAGAATCTCTTGAGAGTGCACTGGGCAAAAGGGAAAGGAGAAAGAGAAAGGTTTTTTGCCAATTTGCTATGGAGTAAATTGATGCGGGTATTTGTGAAGGGGAACAGTGGCACAAAAGAGTTGTGATTGTGGAACATATATTTTTTGATGGAATATTGGAGGCATTTGCATGAAATTTTAATAAATATTATTTGTAAAGATTTATGGAGCCATAAAATAGATTAAAAAGTGTAAAAATAAAAAATATAAATAAATACAATATAACAACGTCTTTTTTTGACTTTTAGATTTTAAGGAAATTTTTCTGTCATCGAAAAATGAAAGGAAAGAAAGAAAAATCTATAGAAATTCGTTTTCTTGGAGGCCAATAAAAAAAACATATTCAAAATCGTTTCCATCAATAATTTGAATAATATATATGGGAAATTTTTCAAAATCGATATTGTTATGATCACAGCTTTTTAAGATTCATTTATATTAGATTTATCTTTCGAACGATTTTTTTTTGGGTTTTGTTTTTTTTTATACATAAATATTTTTCAAAAATTATTTTTCCCATATTTTTTAATATATTTTGTAATATTTTTGTTATACTAATACGAAATATTAAATTTTTTTTAATATATAAATAAAGTATATATTTTTTTAATTTAAAAAATTTAAAAAATTATTATTTTTAAAAAAGTTAAATATTAAAAAAGATTAATAATATTTAAATATTTGAAATTTAAATTTATTAGTACTTAAATATATATTTAAAAAATATATATTATTTACACAATATAGATTTTTAAATATCTTAAAAATCTTTTTTTTTTAATTTTGTCACTTGGTCTATTTCGGTAATGTTTAAGGTTTGAAAAAGAGTTAGCTTTAGAACGAATTTAAGGGGAATTTCAAAAATTGGGAAAATGTGAAAAATAATAATGTGTTTTTTGTATATTCAAATATATATTTTTAAAATATTCAAATATATATATTTTTTAATTTACAAAAAATATTTTTTTTTAATTTAAAATATTTAAATTATAATCGTTTTTTAATATATTTTAAAAATTAAAAGAAAATTAGTAATATTAAAATATTGGATATTTAACATCATAACAATATTTAAAATTTAAAAATATACGGTATTAAAATATTTTATTTAAAAAGAAGTAATTTTTTAATTTAAATTTTGTTTAAAAAAAAATAATTATTTTTTATTACATTTTAAATATCAAGAGAAATTACTAACATTTAATTGTTTGATATTTAACATTGAAATATTTAAAATTTAATAATATATTCATTGGTATTTGAATATTTAATTAGAAAAGTATATTTTATTATTTAAACTATTTTATTTTAGTTTATTTTCATTTTCTTGAATTTTTTTAAGTTTTCTATATTTTTTTCATTTAATATATTTTCTATAACTATGATATTATTTTTTTAAAATTTTTTTTTTTAATTGAAAAAAAAAATTATTATTATTAAATTATTTAATATTTAAATTAAAAATATTTAAAATTAAAAAATATGTATTTTTGGTACTTAAATATTAAATTAAAAAAGTATTTTTTTTTATTATTTAAATTTTATTTTTTTTTGTTGTTTTTTACCATCTTCCTGGATAGTTTTCAATAATATTATTAATTTTTCTTTTGCCTTTATTTATTATTATTATTTTTCTATAATTATTTCCCGACATTTTTTGTTTAATTTCAACCCACTGTGTCTCTTTTCAAAATGGAATAAATGCTTTTCTTTTTTATGTTTTTCTAAATTTGTTATTTCAATTTTTATTTTTGTTCCTACCTAATCTTCTTCGATATATTTTTTTAAAATTTTCTGTGATTATTTTTTCGTTTTTCGGCACCTAATCTTCTGGGATATTTTTGAACATATTTTTCTGTAATTATTTCTAATTTTTTTGCCTTAATTTAAATTAAATTTTTAAATTTTACTTATATTTTCCCATAATTATCTCCCCGTTTTTTCCTTTCATCCCACTGTGCCTCTATCCAGAACGAAATGCATTTAATTCTTCTTTTTAATTTTTTTAATATACTTGTTATCAAAGTTATAGGTTTTTATACTTTTTTCCGCACCTAATCTTCTTGGATATTTTTTAACATATTTTCCTGTAATTATTTCCATTTTTTTTGCCTTAATTTATATTTAATTTTTGCATTTTACTTATATTTTCCCATAATTATTTCTCCGTTTTCTATTTTATTTCATGTTTTTTTTTTCACTTTCTCCCCACTGTTCCTCTTTACAAAACGAAATCCATTTAATTCTTTTTTTTAATATAGTTATGGAATTAAGTTTTTTTTTTCGCAACTAATCTTCACGGATATTTTTGAATATATTTTTCTATAATTTATTCTAATTATCTGCCTTCATTTATATTTAGATTTCATATTTTTTTTATATTTTTTCCATAATTATTTCCCCGTTTTTAATTTGTTTCATGTTTTTTTTTTTTTTCACTTTCATCCCACTGTCCCTTTTTTCAAAAGGGAATGCATTTAATATATTTTTTTTTATTTTTTTAATATATTTGTTATGAAGGTTATAGATTTTTTTTAAACATATTTTTTTATTTCTAACTTTTTGCCTTAATTCATATTTAATTTTCATATGTTTTTATGTGTTTCAACAATTATTTCCCCGTTTTTCATTTTATTTCATTGTTTTACTTTCATCCCACTGTGCCTCTTTTCTAAAGGGAATCTATTTAATTCTTCTTTTTAAAAATATATTATTCTGTAATTATTTTATATTATATATTTTTCTGTAATTATTTTCCGTTTTTTTTTATTTTATTTCATGTTTTTCTTTCACTTTCATCCCCACTGTATCTGTTTCCAAACGAAATACATTAAATTATTATTTTTTTAATATTTGTTATGAAAGTTATAGTTTTTAATTGTTTTCTTCTCTAATAATTGTAATTATTTCTATTTTTCCCCTTATTTATATTTATTTATATTTATATTCTCATACTTTTTTCATAATTATTTCCCCTTTTTTATTATATTTCATATTTCGAGTTTTTCACTTTCATCCCACTGTACCTCTTCCTAAAACCAAATGCATTTAATTGCATTGGTTATTATTGCCGCTGTTTTTGTGGTTGTTGTTGATATTTTTGACTTTCGTTAATTTCTTACATAAGATAATCCAGATTTAATTCAAGCCAAAACTCTTTAACATTTCTTTCGTTACTTTGTGTGGAATTCCTCACCCACCCCCCCCCCCCCCCCCTATCCCAAACAGAGAAAAATGACGATTTCATTTGGTTGGGAGCACTCGGTAGTCATGTCTCTATTTTATGTCTCAATATCTCTATGCAATTCACAGTTTATTTGTTTACTTTTCTGAGAAAGAGAGAGTGACTAAGTAAGTTACCAGTATTGTATTGTGAAAAAGAGAAAGAGTGTGTGTGTGAGTGTTTGTGTACGGTTTAAAATACAATCCACATGCCGCCGTTTGGTATTTTGTTGGGGCTGTTCTCTGTGTTGTTTTTGTCTATGGTGGAGCCCGTCGTGTTTAATATAAATGTGAAGAGAGCATTCGTTGGTGTAGCAATGAAGAGAGGTTTGGGTCCCCTTGTCGTTGCTTGGATTTATTTATGATGCTGATTGTGGTTGTTGTTTTTGCCAAAGCATGCATGCTAGCCCAATCATTAGTTGCCTTTGGGTTTCGCTGACGAACGGTTGTTTTTTCTTTTGGTGGCGTTGAAAGAAAAACAACACCTGTGTTCCTTCTTTTTCTGTAAAATTCTCTGTCTCCGTTCGTTTGTGTTTTTACTATTATTATTATTGTTTTGTGTGCGTGGAAATTTATACGTATTTTCTTGGTTGAAAAAAAAAAAAGACGCGTAACGCATTCGGTGTAACATTAAGGCATTTGCGAAAGTCTGTTTACCTTTTTTTGGTTCTTTTTTTAAATTGGGCCCCAACCAAATTTATTTGGCCCAAAAAAGGCGTACATTCTGGAGAAAAAGAAACAAATATTCACCAACAAAGAAATTAAACGGCAACGTAAGAAATGAAACAAGATTTATTTATTTTATTATTTTTTTTTTTTTTTTTTGTGATTTCAAGTGAAGTTTATTGCAAGGGTTTTCGTGCAATATCATGTCAGTTCTGTTGTGTTCCTAAATAAAAAAAAACCCGTTTATTTGTGTTGCATTGCTGGTTTGACCACAAATGTAAATGCGAATTACCATTAAACTATCTGCCAACGACCTTCTGGAATATAAATACAAAATAAATAGCATCAGCAACAAGGAAAAATTTGCCTCATTAGAATGCAAAAGAAAAACAAAAATGCATTGAATTTGAAACCAAACAAACAAATAATCTAGCGCGGCCACCATAAAGTTGGAATTTTTTCAACGTTTCTATGAGCGTTTTAACCAACATGTTTGTTCAAAAAACAACAGAAAAAAAAAACGAATAAATATATAAATACCAAATAAATAGTTCATAATAAAACAATTGAAATACGTATTATTTTTTTTTCGTAAGCAAATAAAAAATATTATTAAAAATTTAACAAAGCGACCAAAAAAAAAAACACAAATGTGCGTATGTATTTTCAGCAGAAAAATAAAATAAATATAAAGAAAAGCTAATTACCAACATCATCAGCAGCACCTTCATTATGAAGATGGCGCCCACGTGATAACGGGCGGAGAGTGTTAAAGCAAATTCTTGCAAGAAAACTAGTAATTCTTAGAAAATTTCACTTTCAAAGGGAAAAAAGGAATTTTCTCAAAAAAAAAAAAAAAAAAATGACAACTTGAAAAAAATTTTGATTTAAATAAATTATTCCACGGAAATTTTTGGGCAGAAGTATGAAGAATTTTTTAATATATTTTTTTTAAATCTTTTCACTTTCAAGGAAAAATATAAACAAAACCTGGGTTCTTTACAAAAAAAAATTGCGCTTTATTTAAATATTTGTCCTATCCAACAATTGTTTACACGATGTGGTTCGGAAGTTATATGAAAAAAATGAGCGATTTTTTTGGAGTAGGAACAGCATTTCTAACGATTTTTGAAACAAAAAATATTAAAGGAGAATTTCACAAAAAAAAAATAAATAAATAAATAAAAATGACGACTTGAAAAAAATATTGATTTAAATAAATTATTCCATGAAAGTTTTTGGGCAGAAGTATGGGAAATTTTTTAATATTTTTTTAAATCTTTTTTAAATCTTTTCACTTTCAAGGAAAAATATAAACAAAATCTGGGTTCTTTACAAAAAAAAAAAAAAAAAAAAAAAACAGAAAATTTTAAAGGAGAATTTCAAAAAAAAAAAAAAAAAAATGCGTCCTATCCAACAATTTTTTACATGATGTGGTTCGGAAGTTATATGCAAAAAATTAGCGATTTTTTTTGGGGTAGGAACATCAACAATTTTTAGAAAAGTATTTCTAACGATTTTTGAAACAAAAAATTTTAAAGGAAAATTTCACAAAAACAAAAGAAAACCAGTAAAGAAAGTCTTAAAGTCGGGCGTGGCCGACTTTATGATACCCTACACCACTTTGCTAAGTTAGTAGAGCTCCGCATAAAAATTAAAAGTTTTTATGGGAGAATTCAATCATACACGCTATGATTATAATTATAATTTAAAGTTCAAAGGACTAAATATGCCGAGGCATTTGCATGTTTTAAATTCGGACTTGTATCTTTTAAATTCGGAAGCTATATCCAAATCGTAACAGATCTCGATAAAATTTGGCAAAGATATTTTTGAGCTGTATTTGATATATTTTCCTGAAAATCGTTGTTACGGAGTGCATATTACGGTTGTGGGTAACAAATATAACAATTCGGATGAACACTATATATGGGAGCTGTAGATATATCTCAACTGATTTCGATAAAATTTGGCATACTTATTTTAAGGCATAATTTGGTTGTATGTGCAAAATTCCATAGAATTCGGGCTGATATTACACGTTTGGTGCATAATAAAAGGCAAATCGGACGAAGTTATATGTGGGAGCTATATCCAAATCTGAACCGATCTCGATAAAATTTGGCAAAATTATTTCTGAGCTGTATTTGATATATTTCCCTGAAAATCGTTGTTACGGAGTGCATATTACGGTTGTGGGTAACAAATATAACAATTCGGATGAACACTATATATGGGAGCTATAGCTATATCTGAACCGATTTCGATCAAATTTGGCATACTTATTCGCAGGCCCAATTTGGTTGTATGTGCAAAATTCCATCCCATTTGGGCAAATATTAGACGTTTGGTGCACAATAAAAGGCAAATCGGACGAAGATATATATGGGAGCTATATCCAAATCTGAACCGATCTCGATAAAATTTGGCAAATGTATTTCTGAGCTGTATTTGATATATTTCCCCAAATATTGTTGTTACAGAGTGCATATTACGGCTGCGGAGGACAAAAATAACAAATCGGATGAACAATATATATGGGAGCTATAGCTATATCTGAACCGATTTCGATCAAATTTGGCGTACTTATTCGCAGGCCCAATTTGGTTGTATGTGCAAAATTCCATACAATTCGGGCTTATATTACACGTTTGGTGCACAATAAAAGGGAAATCGGATGAAGATATATATGGAGCTATATCTGAATTTTAACCGATTATCTCCAATTTCAATAGGGTTCGTCATTGGACCAAACAAATGATTTGTGCAAAATTTCATCTGGATCGGACAATAAATGCGAACTGTACATTGTTAACAAAAATACATGGACAGACGGACAGACGGACGGACGGACGGACATGCATAAATCGAATCAGAATGTGATTCTATGCAGATCATCAAAAGGTAATATGGGTCTATCTCGTTTCCTTTTGCCTGTTACAAACAAATGCACAAAGACATAATACCCTGACCACCTTGTGGTGAAGGGTATAAAAAAAGTCAAAGAAACTTCAGTTTTTTTTTCGTTGAAGGATTTACTGGACTCTTTTTCAGGCAATTTATTTTTATATATTTAGAATTTATTCGACGTTTTTTCAGGCTTTTATATTTTTATTTTCATATATTTATATATTATTTTTATGTTTATATTTTTATAGATTTTTTTCTTTAATTTTTTTAAGGACTTATTCGACAATTTTTTAATTTTTTTATATTTCTTCATATTTTTTTATACCTTCAGCCATATGGCTAGAGAGGATATATATCATTTGATACAGTCAAAATGTGCCTAGTCGAAATAACGGCCTTAGACCACAGGTATCTTTGGACCAAATCCGTTTCAGGACATTTGGAGTCGATCTAGCGATGTCCGTCCGTCCGTCTGTTTTTCTTGCTGGCTGGTGCGCACGATGACCCTCGAAGAGAGTATCCGATTTGACCCAAAATTAGTACATTGTAATATTTTTGTCAAACTTAGATCGAGTTCGGAGATAGGCAATATCGGTCTACTCCTTCTGGTACCTCCCCCACAAATGTTCGAAATTTTCAAAAAATATATTTTCTGCACAGAAAGAGAAACAATTATCCGATTTTGCTGCAACTTTGCAAATGCTAATATTTCCATCAGTGCTAGGCCGAATGCGAAAATTGACAATATCGGTCCACTCCATCAAGTACCTCCCCCACAAAGGGTCAAAATTTTGAATAATTGCAACTCTTATAAAATGTGAGCCAAGGAACCGATTGTCTTTAAATTTCATACATCCCAATATTTTTATTAACCCTAGATCTGGTGTTAAGATGGAATATATCGGTCCACTGCTTCTGGTACCTCCCGCACAAATGTTCGAAATTTTCAAATAAAATAGATATTTTTTTGCACAGAAAGAGAAACGAGAATCCGATTTTGCTCCAACTTTGCAAATCCTAATATTTGCGTCAGTTCTAGGTCAGGTGTGAAAATTGACAATATCGGTCCACTCCATCAAGTACCTCTCGAAATTTCCAAAAATATATTTTCTGCACAGAAAGAAAAAGGATGATTCGATTTCGCTCCAACTTTGCAAATTCTAATATTTGCGTCAGTGCTTGGTCTGGTGCGAAAATGGACACTATCGGTCCACTCCTTCTGGTACCTCCCCCACATAGGGTCAAATTTTGATTAATTACAACTCTAAAAAAATGTGAAGTAATAGTCCGATTGTCTTCAAACTTCACACATCCCAATATTTTTATTAACCCAAGATCTGGTGTTAAGAGGGAATATATCGGTCCACTCCTTCTGGTACCGCCCCCACATAAAAGGTCGAAATTTTGAATATCTATTAAGCTCATAAAACGGGAAATTAACATCCGATTCCATTCAAGACATGGCACATTTGAATATTTCCATCAACACAGGATTTGTTATAGAAACCGTAGAAATCGCAACATTCCTTCTGGTACCTCCCCTACGAAGGGTCAAAATTTTGAATATCAATAAAGGTCATAAAACGCGAAATAAGCATCAGGTTATCTTCATATTTCTCACATCTTATTATTTCTACTAACACAAGATCTGTTGCGAAGATGGGATTTATACGTCCTTCTGGTACCGCCCCCACAAAAAAGGTCGAAATTTTTAATATCCATTAAGCTCATAAAACGCGAAATTAACATCAGATTCCATTCAAGACTTGGCACATTTGAATATTGCCATCAACACGGGATTTGTTATAAAAACGGTAGAAATCGCAACTTTCTTCCGCTACCTTCCCCACAAAGGGTCAAAGTTTTGAATAACCAAAACGTTTAAAAAAATCCGAAATAAGCCTCAGATTCTCTTTTTATTTTATACATCCTATTATTTCAACTAAGAAAAGATCTGATGCGAAGATGGTATATATCGGTCCACTCCTTCTGGTACATCCCCTCACAAAGGCTGAAATTGGAATTGGATTCGGCCGATCACCACTTTCGGTCAAGCGAAGCACCGCTTTAGCTCTTTTGAGTCTATATTCTTTCAGTTGCGGTGTAAGTTCTTGCACTTTTTGGAATTTCAATGGCTTTACCGCGAGGAGCTCATTTTTCAATATTTGCCGAATGCCGAATATTGTGATATGTTCAG